CACTCACTCACTCACTCACTCACTCACTCTCTATCATTCACTATCATTCACTCACTCCATACTATTCCCTCAGAAATTAATGACTAACACGAGTAGTGGCAGCGACAGCAACAGCGCCGACACCTCCACAACCGGCCCACCCATTCAGTCCATACATCGGGTGCACTCATACTCTTCCATCGACTCGCAGACACCCATCGACTCGTCGTCCGACGGCGACGACTACTCCCTGTCCTCAGCCAACCGCCAGTCCCCGGAGTACCAGCGCCGTCGACAGCAGCAGAAGCTGTACTACATAGCGAGGGAACTGTACTCTAGTGAGGAGGTGTTCATCGATGTCCTGCACCTACTCAACGACGACTTCCGATCGGTGGCCGAACCCCACCTCCCGGATGATGTGTTGCAGCCTATACTCAAACTATTGCCACAATTACTACAGATTAACGAACAACTGGTCACTGATTTGAAGGACAGGATAGACGACTGGCCCAACCATCAGAGGATTTCCGGTATGTATGGCTTTTGCGTAATATTGTATACTATGGTCTATAGCGGTGATTGTCATAGTGTCTCGTAAATGGCAATTAATATTAGTATATTTATTATTATTTGGCATATTGTCTGACAAAATGTTTTTTATTATTATATAATATTAAATAATTATTAGTAAAATGAAATGATTGATACAAATGCCAATAAATTTACTAATGATATTGTGTTTGATACGTTTTATAAAAATTATAATTAAGTACAGTTTTCTCAAGTAGTCAAAAATTTATTAAATGTTAAAAACCAATTTTGCTTGTATTATTAATAATTGTTATTGTTACGCTTATCAAGTTATAGTTTACATGTTGACCATTATAATAATAATAAATATTTAATTAGCCAAAACTATTAAAATAAATTTCCTAATTATATTGAAGTAGTATTTCTAAAATGGACCTACACCTTCGAGCCAAAATAATTAAAAATTAAAATTTAGGTAATTTTAGCAAACAAATGTATATAATTTACAGTTTATCTATAATTTATTATTACGTTATTATTAAATAATTCTTATACAGGTTTTAATAATTTTTATTGCCACGGTTATCTATTTACAGTTTATTACAGACAATTATAATGTTAATGAATATTTAATTTACACAAACTATGAAAATAAGTTATTAAATATAAACTATTAAATATAAATTACCGTTTTAAATAATTTATAAAAATTTAATTTAAAATAATTTATTTTTCATTTCCAGACGTTTTGGTGAAAATCTGTCCGTTTCTGAAGCAGTACTCGCTATACATCCGGGACTTCGAACACATAACAACCGCCTATGACGAGGCCCTCCGGCGGTACCCGTCGTTCGCGGCGGCCGTCCGTGAGTTCGAGTGCAGCCCTCGCTGTCAGAAGCTATCCGTCCGACACTTTATGCTAAAACCGGTGCAACGACTGCCCCAATACCGGCTCCTATTGCACGACTACTTAGAGCACCTGCCGGTCGAGTCGGACGACTACGTGGACACACAGTCGGCCCTCAAGATTGTGTCCCAAGTGGCCGAACACGCGAACAATAGTATGAAGTCCAACGAGAATATCAGCAAATTATTGAGTATTCAGAACAGTATTATCGGCGGAACGGAAGTCATAAAACCCGGCCGAGTGTTCATCAAAGAGGGTGAGCTCATGAAGTTATCAAGGAAGATCATGCAGGACAGGTGGTTCATACTGGTGAGCTGGATACGTTTTATTTTATAGTATAATTATTTAAAATAATATTAAATTATACATTTCATAGTATAAACTTTAAAGTACTACTATGAAGTATCATATAATGTATATATGCCAAATATTGCAACTTAATTAATAATTTAATTTTCTAACATTACGTTAATCGAAAAAATAACTTTATTAATTTACACACTTCAGGTACATTCCCAAAATATTAATAAATTTTCATTCACAATACCTAAACATATTTTGATATATAAATTACAGTTTACGTAATAGTTAATTTTTTAATATCAATTGTGTCTATAATTTAAAGTATTTTTATTTTCACATTCAGTTCAACGACTGTCTCATGTATTTAACTGCAGTACAAAACGGTGTGTTTCGGGTGAACCACGAGCTCAGCCTAACGGGAATGAGGGTCTCATTACCCAAACAACAGGACTTCCAAAACGAGTTCGCAGTCATATCGCACACCCGATCCTTCTCACTGGCGGCCCGGTATGTCATATGGGAGTGGGAGGGACAGACATATTGCATGAATTAAATATGAAATAACAATATTTATGTGGTTTGTGTGTTTAGGTCTCCTAAGGAACGGGAGGAATGGGTGTCTGAACTGAATAAAGCCATCAAAGAGAATACGACTAAAAGGATATCATTCGCCAAATCAGGGGTTAGTTTGAGTTCAATATTACAATTAATTATGAATATTATCTTACATTATCCAGAACAATTATTATTAAACAGATACGCTTTTATTAACCTAGGTTATTATTTTTAAGGAAATATGTAGGCATTTATTACAAAAATTATTAAGTCTATTATTAAGACCGAATTTTTAATTAGTAAATAAATTAATAATTTTAAGTCAATATTTGTGAAGTATTACAGTTTACTGGTACCAGAGAGATATTTTTACCTTGATCTTTTTATTTAGTTTATTTATACTTATTTATTAATCATGAATTAAATTTTTATAATATCTATACAAATATTAAATAAATATAAGTTTTTCTATAAACTTATTTATTAATCCCTTACAGAGTCTATGTTCAGATGAGACCCTATTGCCTACCAGTGCCCTATCGACCATGGAGTTGGGCACCTGTGCCCCGGTATGGATACCCGACGCCCGGGTCACTATGTGTCAGCTCTGCACCGAAGAGTTCTCAGTGACATACCGGCGCCACCACTGCCGGTGCTGCGGGAAAGTCGTGTGCAGCGCCTGTAGTCAAAACAAGGCACCCCTTCCGTACCTCAAGAACCAAACGGCGC